GTAATTTTCATGCTAATTATGTTAAGCTAACCATGCCTGTGCAGATGTCTTCACTTTGTGTAGACTTTTCAGTAATTAAAATATATTTTTTATTTCAGTTTCATTCCGTGTTCACAATGTTGAGTCGGCAATAATTAGAGGAGCTTGAATGCTACATCCTGACTCTGATGTCTCTTTGAATTGGAGTTTGGCTTGCTGTCAGATTGTGGTTGCTACACCTCAAGGAGGACAGTATAAGCAGTGTCTGGTATTCTATAAGAAAAGTAGCATCTTTCAGACTTTTGACCAACATGATTCGACATCTCACTACAGCATCTGCGTCTCAAGCAAGAAATGTTGCTATTGTTGTGTGAAACCATCGAAAATGTCAAATTCTCACAATGTAAAAATAACAGTCTCGCATTCAGCTTGACAACAATATCTTTTGCAGTCATTTCACTACGTTCTGAAAATGTTTTAGAGTCATGCGCTTTGCTCAAACTACAGGGAAACATTCAACCTTTTGATCGAAGGGTCGGTTCTAGGGATGTAAGTTTCAGTTCATTTTGCTTTCAGTAGTCTGACAACCTTTAACCAGTAACTAACTGGTTAGTTTTTAAAGTAAAAGAATACAAAATGAAGTGAACTACAAAAGGCCTTTCCTTTTAGTTCGGCACTCCATTGATTCAGTGAGCTTTAGCTCTGTATTTCAAAACGCTACTCATTCAGAGGTGGTAGAATTTTAATGTTTTGTGATGTAAATGTCTTGCCTTTTATTTTGTGTTATCTTTGCTGACAGCTGGAAACATAGGGTGCGTTTAGAAATACTCAGTGGTGGAGCGCACTCTGGAAATCTGGAGTGCTGCTAGAATTCATCATTCGGGTATTTACAACACCATACTCTCAGAGCAGTGCCGAGCGATGTGTATTTGTGATTAATGTAATGGTTTGTTAACTCTGCTACTTTAAACAACAGCACTCTCATTTTAGTGTAGAGCCTCAGATTGGATTTACAAACGCTCCCATTGTGCCCATTGCCCACCCTCCAGTCCTCACTAGCTAACACCACCACTCATTCAGTGATTACTGCTGGTAACACTGTCCCGATGCTGTGTCAACATTGTGTCCACCCTCCGGTCTCTCCCCAAGTCACTCCGGTGAGGCATCAGTTTCATTTTGACCCGCAAACCCCCTTTAGCACTGTTACCTATGTTAGCATGTTAACACTGGTGCTGACAAAGCTAAATTGAGCAAAGCATTAGTTCAGGCAGGACACAATGTCAAGCTCAGCTCACATCCCAGCTACATCAGCTGATCTCAAACAGCCCAATCAGCTGATGGAGCAGCTGATTGATGGAAGGGAGGCAGCTGATAGATCACATGATTCCTTTCTATGCAACCAATTGGTGAATCTCATTCAGGGCGCCCTATTTAAACTGCTCTGGCCTGCCTACTGTTGCTGCTTCCTCTGCAAGGCACTTTGCAACCTGCCTCCACCCCAGCTCCTGCTTTTCATGCTGTGCCTGACTTATCAATGTCATTTCTGTTTGTCATTGATGCTACTCTGTTCTGTTCCCGGGGGGTCTTTGCTGCTGCTCTCCCTGCCTTAGGCTTTCCATGTAGGCGCATGGAAGGGCAGGGAGGTTTGCTCTCTCTGCCTCAGGCTTTCCTTGTTTGCATGTGGAAGGGCAGAGAGGCCCCATACCGCTAAATTGAACACTGCAGATGGAAATAAAGTTTTCCTTGACTAAAGTGGTCCTGACTGAACAGTTGTTAACAATACGTAGGGTTTGCAGCTCAAAATTGAGCTACTTCTTCACTGGGGGGACCTGAAGGGGGACAAGAGGGTGGACACAATGTTTTCACAGCAACACTGTTGCGTTGGGATGGCAGTTGTTAGCAGTAATCACCAAATGAATGCCACCACTAGCTGTTCAGTGTAGAGTGGCCAAAGCTAGCTAATCAGTGGAGACTGGAGGGTGGGCAGTGATGACTCTGTTTCCACATGTTAATATGGCTAGCTGGCTGTCCGTCTCCCAAAAGATCTGGGTGGTGTGCACTGCAGTTAACTAAGGGGTAGCAAATGAATATATAGACCGATGTGCGGAACTGATAGTCAGTGAACTTACTTTTTGCCCCCATGCAAATACAGAAATTTTGACCTCAGTACAGAAGATGTAAATGGATTTTTGTTTGCTTTAATTGAAAGTGCTGAAAAGAGTCATTTAAAAAAGCTCAACATTTAAATGCCTCTCCAGAAACAGTCTCACAGTCACCCTCCATAACCCACAGACGTAGCTTGCAGCATTTCACTACTTGAAAAAGAAAACAGTTTTTGAGAAGAAAATCTTTACAGTGACCCTTAAAGTTAAAAACAAAACAAAAAAGAAGTTAGTGATTTTAACAATGACTGATGGAGACTCTTGGAGGGACTGGGTGGCTGTCAGCAGACAAACAAAGCATAGTGAAATGTAAAATCCACACAGAGGACTGGAACGGGCCGTTGAGTCAGAGCCAAGTAAAAAACTGCAGCTCCCAGAGGTAGGTAGTTGGCTCTGACCAGAGACCAAAACAGCGATTATTCAGTCATATGCCAGGGAAATCCGTGCACGGCCTGATAAGTGATTGATGTGCAGAAGAAAAAGATGGAGGAACTTAGCAGGAACAGATGCCCTCTCAAAAAAACGGGTGACATTAGTTCACAGCGAGGTGTGTGCATGTTAGAGTGTCTTTGTTTGTGCAGATTTTATCACTGCTGTAAGACACGGTGTGATCTTGAGCTCCCAGCTTGTGTGTTCATGGATCAGCTGGTTTTGACGTGGAGCAGCATGTCGAGGGCACGGAGCACCTCATCCTCCCTGCAGCTGGTGCACGGGTGTCACGCACTTCCTCTTATCCCTACTTTCTCAAACCTTTGGGCCTCTTTGCTTTGTTTTTGTTCTCCCTCCTCACTCTTTCTTGGTCTCTTTGCATTTGCACTATGTGCCTTGAATTTATCTTTATCACTATGTTTTCCTTTATTACAGTTTAATAGAAATATAGATTTTATTTATTATGTTCTTGATCCCTCTTGGTGTTGTCACGTTGATTTGTTAGACTCTAGAGAAAAGAAAACAAGTTGAGAAGAGTCTGCAGCCGTGCTAGCAGCTTTATGAGGTTGTTCTAAGGCTAAAGGTACTTTGGGCTAAATGCTTAAAGGTACACTATGTGGCACTGTTGGTTACCGTTTGTGCTTGCCAGTGAAAGTTAAGCCAACCGCAGATTTACTTTCGTTTGGCATTTCAGCTTGCTATATTTGCACTTTTTTCAGCACTGTGTCTCTTGGATGCCTGCTGCTGACATCCCAAACACAGAAACCCAGAAGGAAATACAGGCAGGGGGCAGGGTCTCTGCAGATAAATACACCACCAGACACTTCTAGTGGATCCTAAAAGACCACTTCTCTACTTTTTTTAACTAAAATCCTGCATGGTATGTCTTTAAGTCGGCATACAAACACGCTCAAACAGATAATGCTTACATGCTGTTTAGCAGGTATTATTTATCAGGTTCACTAGCTTGGTTAAAGCTGTTAGCATGCTAACGTTGTTAATTAGCACTACAATTGAAACCAAAGCTGAATTTCATTATCTTTATCAGTACTTTGTCATAAACCAAAGCAATGGACAAATTGGAATTTTGCTGAGATAACAAGTGAAGAGGTCTCCAATGTTATAACTATTAATGCTCTAGGACAGTGGCTCCCAACTGGTAGGTCAGGGTCCATAAGTTGGATGCAGGTTGATTCTGAATGGACCACAAGTGACTCGCAAACATGTCAAGTTTGTAAAAATCTGATTTTATTTTGAAGTACAGTCAATTTCCAGCACAGAGCTTTTATTTTGAAGAGCTGTTCCTGTTGTAAACTAAGTGACTAGGGGACAGCTACTTGACAGAGACAGCAAACTAACTCAACAACATGGCCAAACCCAAGTATGATGCTGAATATATTAAACTGTGTGGACCCTGAACTAATGACTAAGGAGAAATCTGGACCCTGTGGCTGGACCAGTTGGGAACCACTGATCTAGGAAAGCTGACCATCTGTAGTAGGTTTCATAGCAATCAACCCAGTTGTTGGCAAAATATTTCACTACAAATCAAAAATCTTCACCTCATGGTGGCGCTCAGAAAAGAGTAAGGGGATCAGCAAAGTAGGGCGATACTGAACGTCATTTTTTGACATTTGAAGCTTTTATTGAGGTTTTCCAAAAAAGCTTCAAATCTCATATTTAATAGCGTCATCAACCTTAAAGAAAGATCCTCGAACAAATCCTTAATTTGAATGGTAATTCATTGCATTTACGTACTTTTTTTTTTTTTTCAATTATTGGATCAACATTCTTCAATAAATAAATAAAATGGTTACAAATATGGATTAAAAGAGAATATTTTATTAGATTATTATCTTTTTTTTTTTTTAATTCAAAATTTTCCAAGAATTAAGTTTATAAACCGTGGCGTTACATAACATAACAATACAAGACTGGTCCAGAAAAAAGAGAGGACAAAATGGATCAATAGTGTGAGGTGAAGTAATTATTGTGTGCATCAAGCTGATTCATATCCACTGTCCCCAATACAGATATTTATCCAATTTTCATCCATGTAAGTCCATATTATATTTGAGAACAAGTGATTCCACTCGTTTTTTTTAAACAATTACATCTATATTTTTCCAAAAAATTTAGACTTTTAGACTTTACAACACTGGAGATAATATAAAAGTAGTCTAGTTGTCATTTCTCCTACACAAAGGTCATTGAGTTCAGTCGTCAGGGGACCATGAACATCTGCACCAGATTTCACAGATTTGACTCAGCAATCACTTTAATAGTCGTTGAGATATTTCAGTCTGATTAAACCGTCCAACAGACAGACATTTGTTATGCAGCCAGCATGACTGAATATAACAGATGTAAGCACTGAGCACATAAAAATGACCCTGAATGTCTCACAACTCTTCCTCCTCTCTGTTCCAGATAACTTTTACGGGACCCCGAAGCCTCCGGCCGAGCCCAGCGCTCTGCTGCTAAATGTAACGGACCAGCTGCTGCCGGGCGCCAGACCCACCTCTGAGGGCAAGAGGAAGCGTAACAAGTCAGTCAGCAACATGGAGAAAGCCAGCATCGAGCCCCCCGAGGAGGAGGAGGAGGAGAGACCCGTTGTCAATGGCAACGGTGTTGCTGTCACCCCAGGTCAGCCCCCCGAACACGACCTGCACGGGCACAGAGGCAGAGGTGGCCTGAGCCCAGACGCCTTGTCATGACAGCTAGGTTCGAGGTCACGCTCCGGGGTCGGGCTGATCCGCAGGAGCTGATAGTCTTAGCAACGGGGCCCTCCTGGAGCGGTTGCCTAGCAACAGAGACAGTAACAGGTTGCTTTCACATGGTTTTCTCAGAAAATGATTTTATGGCAGATTATCACTTTTAATTGGCAACACAAATATCTTTATGTGTAATTTAACGGCACTGTATGTAAACTGTGAATTATAATTCACTCTCACAGGCGGTGATTACCTCTGCAGACCAAGCAGTTTGTGATTAAAGCATTAGTGCAGTCGCTCTCTAGAATGTGATATCATTCATTAGGTATCATTATGGAGCAGTGTCTCAGCCCAGATAGCCACAGGGCACACACACACAGCGCTCTCCAGCTCAACAGCAGCCTGCGGGCTCTTTAAAAACCAACAAGGACATTTTTATTAAGTGTTTTCTCTCTTCCTGGTGAATCAGCGCCATCCGAAGCGTTGCTATTCTCTCTGTAAATCCTCAAGACAGGCCGAAGTGACATTTAACACAGCACGCAGCAGGGCCAAACCTCTTGAGGTATGAATAATAGAAGAAGACATTTCTTTGTACAAATGTCTTTAAATAACAAGACACATCTGAGTCTGTACCTTTCCATTGTGTGCACTGTATAGACATCCAAATATGCACACCCACTTAAACACACACACTTACACACGCACACACACAAAGTCTTTGAATGCATCCCATGATCACATGAAAAGACCGTCATAAAAAGAGGCTTTATAAGTTTGATTTCTGTGATTGCAAATCCAAAACCATGCATCGGTCCTGTGACTTCCTAAGCTGGTTTCACAGCCTCAGGACAAGCAAGTCTCTCACAGCAGCCAGGACATCACGAGCAGTCAAAGTGTTCAGGGCGCCGATCCCGAGGACTTTTGGTAGAAGGATGAGATTTTGGTTTTCTTACCGCAGGGAGCTCAAACACGGTAGGATTCTTAATTTGCAAAAGAAATACATGTATGCAGAGTTTTCCTCTGACATCCTGCAGCACAGTTATGGTAATAAAACTTTATTTAAATACTTTCCGAATGTTTGCTAAGTGCTTAACTTTAGGAAAAAGAATGGAAGAGAAAAAGTGAACTCATTTGAATGCAGGAACACAAATTGAAATAACAAGTTTAGATGAATATGTGCCGATAATAATAAAAAAAAAAAAAAAAACTTTATGTAGGATGTAGGGCATCTTTCCTAACGTTACAAAGGGTTTCACGTAATAATAAGAAACTAATTCAGATGCAAGAAATAAGATAAAAACAAGATTAATGCTGTTAATGTAAAGATAAAGTAATATCACAGGTTTGGATGAATATGCAACAATAATATAAGTTGATATACAGAATACAGAAACCTTTCTCAATGTTCATAAGGTGTTTTACAGGATGAAAGAAAGAAAAAAATTTTTTTTATATATTATTATTTTAAAATCAAGATTTACCCTAAATAAAAATAAAATAAATAAAATGTAATTAGAGGTTGAAATGAATATGTAACAGTGATAAAACTTCCTATACAGTATTTCTTTATGTTTAAGTGCTTTTCAGGATCATTTAAATGCAGGAATTAGATAAAAACATGATTTACTGTAAATGTTTAAAAAGTTATGAATGTTCTCAGAGAGTAAAAGAGTTTCAAAAAAGTCTTATTTAAAGGCACAATGCAAATTACGTTAAAGCCAGTTTATGTAATTATATATCCGAAGGTGATTTAGTTGAAGGTGATTTTATTGCCCACCTGATTTGCTGAAGTAGGTTATTCCAAAGCCCGAGGAGTCGTACGGTTGAGGACACATTATCTTTAACCGGTGGTGCTGCCACGTGGTGACTGATATCACACTGATAGGATCACTGGCCTCGTCCTTATGAAATTAACAGAACATCATTGGAGGCTTCTGTGAGGTGTTTTGAAAATGAGCAGGTCAGTAAATGTTTGATTTCTTACAGTCAATATACTCCTTCAAATTAAGCTGTCATTTTGCGATTATTTAAGAATATACTTTGATTAATTCTTTTATTTTTGTTTTTATTTTCATTTTTACTCTTTTGGCTTTTTTGTTTTTATTTGCAAATGTAGCTTAAGATAGAGAGGAAAGGGGCAGGAATCAAACCCCGGCTGCTGCGAAGGACTCAGGCTCCATTAATACGCTACTGAGGTGCACCAGTATGTTTGACTGTTTAAAACAGAGGACAACTGGCCTGTTTGGAGAACAAGAACCTGCCTAAGGGCTGGGACACATGTCGCGTCTGTAACCACCTGGAAAACCCGAGGTCAGGCACTGTGTGCTACTCTGTGCCAACTTTAAAGGACACGGTGGCAGGTTGCGTCTGAAGTTGCTAAGTGACTATAATAAGTACGGCGTCATAGCCTACGTACCAGAAATCTGGAGTTCGGAGTCAATTTTCCTCCAGGTGTCATTTTTTTGCCCTTTAAACCTGAGCAAATTGGTGTGATTTCTTTTCAAAACATGGGAAGAAGGCAAAAAGCAATGAAAGAAGAAATGACCCAAAAAATTAGCAAGAAATTTAGTAAAATGTGAAAAATCAAACAAGAAAATCGGTTAAAAAAAAGGAAGAAAAGAAAAGAAAACAAGGAATTTCATAAAAAGAGAAAACAAGACAGTTATTTTAGAAAAAGAAAGATCGAAAGTTAAAAACAAACAAACAAGGGAATGACCTGGAAAGAGTGCTTGGAAATTATGTAATTTTAAAATGTTATAATAATAAAAATATTTATAAATATAGTTTTCCCCTTTTTTTTCTTTTTTTTAATTTATAATTTTCTAAAAAAAAAAAAAAATCTTTGCAATTTGTGGGGCATTTCTTGCTAATTTGCTCATTGCCTTTCTTCCCTTGTTTTTGAAGGAAAGCCCACCAATTAGCTCAGGGTTCAAAGGTTTGAATATTTGTGAGAGGCGTCTGAAAGCAGCACAAGAAAAGTGATGTCGCTCCAGGTTTCAAAGGGTTAAGTGTGTATTAGGCCTAAAATATTGTTAGATGCAAAGCTCCTGGTAGCCCTGCGCTAAAACATTTACTTCTCCTCCTCCTTAACATAGACTAAAATTTAGAGATATCTGCCAGCTGTGATTGGTTGTTGCGTCGTTGCTCCGTTCCAAAAAGTTTAGCATTATTTATCTCAGGGCACAGCTGACGCACCGTGACGCTTGTGAACGCCTGAATGCAGCACTGTAGCTTTTAAATCCGCCTTTCACATGTCTACATTGCCAACAATGGATTTGAGGGTGCAAACTGTACCGGTATTGGTCTATGCACATCAGATAATTAGTAACATCTGACTCTCATATTGACACAGATTTTAACTCACTTCAACAGCATAATAAAATTCCTGAAATTCAGTTGTTGTGACTTTTGGTTTTGGTGTAGCAGCCCAAGATCTTCAGTGGTCTCATCTTGACACCCCTATGAAACACATCGGGAGGTGTCACTGACTATTACTCTTCAGACTTGATTTAGGACCACAGAGGTTTCATCTAAAGATCTCAGCTCGTCTGCACTGTGGTTCCTAAAAGTTCCATAATTTCTGTGGGAAACATCCCAGTGTCCAGTTGTTATCTCGCTGAGACAAAATGCAGGAAACATTTTTGACTGATTCCTTTCAGCGGTGTTGAGATGCACGATAACTGGAGGCTCTGGGCTGTGCACTGAGCCATGTTGGATGTTAAAGTGGGCTGCTGCACTCAGCTCAGGAGGAGTTTCGCCTCAGTAGATGGACAGAGTGTGGGCTGACCAGGAGAGCTGAAGGGAAATCAATAGAGCACAGCAGGCTGTGTGATCTAAGCAGATAGCTACCTCGCTCTTTCCCTCCCATAGATTATCTCTCAATCCCCTGCTCTCATTCGTCCCCTCTTCACTTCCCTCCAGCAGCTCTCCTCTGGGAAGCACACACACACTTACCATCTCTTTGTCTTTCTTCCATACACACCATTTCTCTTCCTCTAACACATTCTCACACCGCCACGACTCAAACTAGGGCATCACAGCTAGCTTCTCTCTCAATCTCTATTGTCTCTTCTGCTTTATTCGCCTTTCTGTCTTGTTAACCTCAATCATTCCCTCTCCTGCCTTCACCCCACTCACCTCTCTCCCCTGAGTCGCCGCTTCACCTCACCTTTTTCTAATCATCCTTTCCGTTTTTTTTTTTTTCTCACTCCGCCCGAATCTCAATCAGCCTCTCTCTGTGCCTCCTGCGTCTCCTGTCCTCGCTTCACCTCTCTTGTCTTTCACTCTCCTCCCCGAGCGATATGTCGTGCCTGACTCATTCTGCTCTCCTGTCACCTCAGAGTCGAGCGAACATGAGGACAAGAGTACAGACGCTTCGGGGGACATCGTCCCGCAGAACATCCCGACCGAGGCCCCACCTGAGGCGCCCAAAGACGACGGACAGTCCCCGAAAATGACCCTACCCAAACCAGAGGAGAATGACGAGCTAGGGCCGCTGCCCGACAACTGGGAGATGGCGTACACCGAGAAAGGAGAGGTCTACTTCATAGAGTAAGTGTCATGGTTACATCTTACCCCGATCCAGGACTGATGAGCCTGGATAGTTTAGTGTCACACATTAAACTCACTGCAGAGGGAACTCTGAAAATACAAACTCACCAGATGGTAGGCAATCTTCTTAGCAACTTTTAAAGGAGTAGTCGTTGATTTTTATGGCCACTTGGAGCCAGCGTAACAAGCTGTAAACACAACAGTGACTTAGTATCATCTATAAAGTTGATATAATAAATGTGTTAGCAAGCAGTGCCTATTCACAAATCCAGCAGGCACGAAGCAACAGTAGCATTTAGTAGGGCCAGAGCTCCATTGTAATGCAAGGAATTAATATTCTCTCAAATTAAATGCATTTTTTAGAGGCTGCTGGAGCTCAAAAACTCATGAAACTCACTGCATACATTAGAAGTGGTGATAATTTACATCTGATATGAGTCTCTGACTGAGGTGTGGAAAGCTGGCTCGATAGCGCCTGTAAAAGACCTCCTGACGTACTCGTACTCGTTTTCCTCCGCTTATCCGGGTCCGGGTCGCGGGGGCAGCAGCCTCAGCAAAGAAGCCCAGACAGTCCTCTCCCCCGCCACTTCCATCAGCTCTTCCGCGGGAACCCCGAGGCGTTCCCAGGCCAGCCAGGTGATGTAGTCCCTCCAGCGTGTTCTGGGCGGCCCCGAGGTCTCCTCCCGGTTGGACATGCCCGAAACACCTCCCAAGGGAGGCGTCCGGAAGGCATCCTTACCAGATGCCCGAACCACCTCAACTGGCTCCTCTCGATGTGGAGGAGCAGCGGCTCTACTCCGAGTCCCTCCCGGATGTCTGAGCTCCTCACTCTATCCCTAAGGCTGAGCCCAGCCACCCTGCGGAGGAAACTCATTTCGGCCGCTTGTACTCGCGATCTCATTCTTTCGGTCACTACCCAGAGCTCATGACCATAGGTGATGGTTGGAACGTAGATCGACTGGTAAATCGAGAGCTTCACTTTTTGGCTAAGCTCCCTCTTCACCACAACAGACCGGTTAAGCGTCCGCATCACTGCTGACGCCGCCCCAATCCGCCTGTCAATCTCCCGCTCCATCCTACCCTCACTCGTGAACAAGATCCCGAGATACTTAAACTCCTCCACCTGAGGAAGGACCTCCCCCCTGACCTGGAGTGGGCAATCCACCCGTTTCCAGCTAAGGACCATGGCCTCAGACTTGGAGGTGCTGATTCTCATCCCAGCCGCTTCACACTCGGCTGCGAACCGTCCCAGCAAGAGCTGGAGGTCACTGTTCGATGGAGCTAGGAGGACCACGTCATCCGCAAAAAGCAGGGATGAGATCCTCCCATCACCGAACCCGACACCCTCCACCACTCGGCTGCGCCTAGAAATTCTGTCCATAAAAGTTATGAACAGAACCGGTGACAAAGGGCAGCCTTGGCGGAGTCCAACCCTCACCGGGAACAGGTCCGACTTACTGCCAGCCACGCGAACCAGACTCATGCTCCTTCGGTACAGGGACTGGATGGCCCTTAGCAAGGGGCCACCAACCCCATACTCCCGGAGCACCCCCCACAGGATGCCCCTGGGGACATGGTCATAAGCCTTCTCCAAATCCACAAAACACATGTGGACTGGTTGGGCAAACTCCCATGCCCCCTCCAGCACCCTGGCAAGGGTAAAGAGCTGGTCCACGGTTCCGCGTCCAGGACGAAAACCACATTGCTCCTCCGTTCTAGTCTTAACCCAACAGGAAGTCAGCTATTGAGACTTTACTGTGCATTTTTTTGCCATTTATAGGTGCTGTACTTTCACAAACTCCCCTTAGAGAACTAATCAGATCAACTTCAGATTTGGTCAGTAAAATATAAAGATCCTAATGATGAAAGTTGTTAAATTTGTGGCGGCCAGTTTGCATGATCTGCTATAAACAGGAAGTTGTTGTAAATTGATTGCGCATCGTCCAATCTGCCCCAAACGTCTCATGCTTGATAAGAATCCAGGCCTGAGGACATCTACATGCCAATTTTGTGTCAGAGTAAATGCACCAACGTCTGACTACAGGAAGTAGACCTGGGGCCATATTCACAAAGCTTCCTAGTACTATGAGTTGCTCCTAGTGATGAAATTCTAAGAAAATTCGTAGAATTCAGACATACATAGAATTTCCCCTCAAAGTTAAGACTAAGTCCTTATAAAGATAAAAGTTATTCACAGAGCATCTTAGACCTTAAAAGAGCTCCTAAGGTGAAAAACTGTTAGGAGCAGGGAGGAGGACTTTCAAGAGGTTTAAGAGTTTCCAAAGCAGAGGAGGAAATGGTGGAGACACAGAGGTCGGAGAAATATTCTCCAAACGCTGGATGACAGTAAGACAGTGATGATAGCATCACACAGTTGCTGCCAATTTTTCAGCTGCACATCCATGATGTGAATCTCCCGTTCCACCACATCCCAAACGTGCTCTATTGGACTGAGATCTGGTGACTGTGGAGGCCATTGGAGTACAGTGAACTCATTGTCATGTTCAAGAAACCAGTTTGAGATGATTTGAGCTTTGTGACATGGTGCGTTATCCTGCTGGAAGTAGCCATCAGAAGATGGGTACATTGTGGTCATAAAGGGATGGACACGGTCAGCAACAATATTCAGGTAGGCTGTGGTGTTTAAACCATGCTCAGTTGGTACTAAGGGGCCCAAAGTGTGCCAAGAAAATCTCCCCCACACCATTACACCACCACCAGCAGCCTGAACCGTTGATACAAGGCAGGATGGATCCATGCTTTCATGTTGTTTACACCAAATTCTGACCCTACCATCTGAATGTGGCAGCAGAAATCCAGACTCATCAGACCAGGCAACGTTTTTCCAATCTTCTATTGTCCAGTTTTGGTGAGCCTGTGTGAATTGTAGCCTCAGTTTCCTGTTGTTAGCTGACAGGAGTGGCACCTGGTGTGGTCTTCTGCTGCTGTAGCCCATCTGCTTCAAGGTTGGACAAGGTGTTGTTGCTTCAGAGATGGTCTTCTGCAGACCTTGGTTGTAACCAGTGGTTATTTGACTTACTGTTGCCTTTCTATCATCTTGAACCAGTCTGGCCATTCTCCTCTGACCTCTGGCATCAACAAGGCATTTTGGCTCACTCACTGGATATTTTCTCTTTTTGGGACCATCCTCTGTAAACCCTGGAGATGGTTGTGTGTGGAAATCCCAGTCTTGACCATGTTGCTGCGTGATTGATCGACTGGTTATTTGGTTAATAAGCAGCTGAACAGGTGTACCTAAGAAAGTGGCCGGTGAGTGTATACATATATTCAGTAGTGCAACTTAAAAGTAGTAAAACAAAAAAGACTATGAGTGGTGCAAAGTAACAAAAAATGTTATATTCAGAATTTGTGAAGTATAAAAGAAACTACCAAGCGATGGTTTTCAGACAGCCTCTCCTATGAGCAGCCTGAGGAGGCGTGTTCCAGCCTTTAGAGATCGCAGGGTGAGTTTGTATTTTCATTCTTCTGCAACAAAATTAAATTCAGCCTCAGTTACTAGATTAGGGCTAGGTATCATCTAAATGTACTTCTCTATATTCCCTTGTGTACACACACACACACACACACACACAGACGGACCATAATTGATGCTTGGTGGTTTAATGAGATTTAGAGATCCCCAGAAATACCGTGCTACAAAGAACTCTGTTATACAAGCTTTAAAGTTTAATTCATTGGAGGTGTTAGCTTTTTACAGCAGCAGTAAAAACGGTGGAGGTGAGTCTTTGTTACATAAGAGTAATGGAGTTGCTGTTTTTGTGGTAGAGGTGGCGAGGGAACTGTATCTCCACAGATGTGGTCATGGCTTCAACTAATGTAGCCATAACAGGAAATTATCCTGCTATTAGATATTATTTTATTGCACCAATATATCATCACAGTCATTTAGGCTAGATTTCTCCACAGCACTGATTGAATCCCAGCACACTTGAACGCATCACAAACTGCTCAAAGCTGCACGGCAACACCAGACTAAGAGATGAGACGGCAGCGATCGTCATCCAGCCAGGCACATGTTGCGTCGTCTCGTCTTCTCGCCACAGAGGGAGACTTTTAATTCCCTCTGCTGCCGACGACTCACCATGTGTCTCCTCCCCTCAACAGACAAACCTCATGCTCCCACGCCCATCAAGCACATTACACAACTAATACAGTTAGCCCACTGAATTTGCGGCTTCAACTTTTTTGTCTGGGCGTATGTGATGCCGTGCCAAAGTGATAGCGGCTGCCAGGAGGATGCTCGCCTTTGATTGGCCTCCATACGAGATCAATTCGTTTACCTACAGCCCTTGAAGTGAGGCGGCTGAGGAGTGGAACAGAGCGAGATGGAGATGGAGGTGGAAGGGAAAGAAAGTGATAGTGATTAAAAATGGTAGATAGGAAAAAAAAACGAAAGGTGAAGGGAAGGACAAGAAAGAGGAAGCAGAAGTAGGTATTTATGCTATAAATAGTAATAGATGGCAAGTGAAGAGACGGAGGAAGAGCAGGGGAAAGAGTGAAATGCTTTGGAGACAAATCAAAAGCAGAGCAAAACAGACTTTACCTTACCTTGAACTGCACTTTATTTGGCTCTATGTTTGGCGTGGGCCTTAATCTCCCACTTTCATCTATGTTTAGAGATGGCAATGTCCGTCTGTCGGCTCACCACTTTCATCCAGACTCAAGTAGCTCAGTTTTTTCTTGTAGCGCCACCGACTGGTCTCAGATTTCACCTGTCTGACATACGTCAACACCCTGGTGCCACCACAGAGTTGACATTTTGGTTTTGAGTAAAGTGTCTTAACTAATATTGGGCATATTACTAATAGATTTAGATCAGTCATTTACGTTCCCCTCAGGATGAATTGGAATAATTTTGGTGATCCATTAAGGGAATACTTCACGCACTAAGTGATCATTTGTGTATCAGTTACTCACCCCATGTAACACTGAGTCATGAAGAAAACTATTTTTTTCTTGCATGCCTCCGTGATAAGACAAAAATCCAAACACAAAGGAAAAGCTTGTTGAATTGAAATTTAAGGGGCAACTGCATTTAAAACAGCAAACCTAAGACTCACACAACTCGTGCAGTACAATCCAAGTCTCATTTATCCAGTTTTGTGCTCAGTACTTCCCAAAGATATGCATTTTCACTAAAACCTTACTATTTAAAGCACCTCCACATACATACTGTGCCTGAGACCGTTTGAAGTCTTTAAATAGGAAGGTTTTAGTGAAATGCACATGTTTGGGAAGGACTGAGTTAGGACTAGATAGCTGAGACTTGATTATACTGAAACGGAAACCTCCAGGGCTGAAAAATGAAGCCAACACCTAAGTGCCAAAAACTGCAGTTCCTCTAATGTCCACTTGAGGCTGGCTCCAAGAGGGAGTCAATCTCCATAGATACCCATATTAAAATGCCTGACTTTACAGCAGAAATAAACATGTTTACAGCCCAATTCTAGTCTCTATAGCTAATTTCAGAATTCATGACAACTGTACATGGGATGAACTATTAAATATCTCACCCGTTTAAATATTATTATGGCTAAAATTATACATAATTAAGGCTGGGGACTTTGAAGGACAGGCTGCCAATAGTGTCCTCACCTTCTCAGTCAGATCAGCCCCTAGATTCTCCATTGTGCCAGCCTCTTGCCAAATATGGTCACTTAAAGCTCCAAAAAAATCAAGATGGTGACGGCCGAAATGCGGAGCTCAAGGCTTCAAAATGGGAGTCCATAAACCCATGGGTGATGTCACAGTGGCTAAGTCCATTATCTTCACAGTCTATGATTATATTGCACGAGCTGTGTGAGAGTTTTTTAAACAGATGTTCTAATGTAGTTTTGCTGTTGTTAAGCACGGTACCCGCTATGACTTTATTTCATGAAGAATGTTCACCACTTTTGGATTCTTTGTTCACCGTGGAAGCAGGAAAGAAAAACAACGTTTTCTTCACAAATTTAACAAAACTCGTGGTGGGTAATGAATATACATGGATATACATGGATATATTGATTTATAGTTTAATTACTGATTTAAAATCAAGTGCTGCACTGCGTTACCTTTAAAACGTCACTAGAATCACATTATATACACAGACCAGACCAGCATCACGTCATCACCAAGGCCATGCCCCATTTTGGTGGAAAGAAAAATGCCAACAAGCTGTTGTCTAGCGGGTGAACACACTGAGATTTGAGGCACTTAGTATTTGTGAATATTCACAAGCTATGTTTCCATCCAAAAGTGATTCGAATCATTGGGAAATGCGCATTAAAAGAAATACGAATCCTGTGTGTTTCCATTAAATGTACGGACTTTGGTGAAAACTACAAACTTCAAAGAGTTTTCAGCAGAACCGGAAACAAAACAAGTCTTGCATTCTTCTTCTTCTACGTTTTCTGGCGGTTGGCAACCTTAATTCGAACATAACTGTTTCCATCCCCCGTTTTGCGAATCAACATTTTTTCGAATCAACCAAAACCTGGCTAAAGCGAGCATATTTTATTTTGTGCGAATCAGGGGATTTTAATTCGAATTTTGGCGTTTGCATCATAATTTTCCAATGCGATACTTCTAAATGCGCATCTATACAGGCTGATGGGAACTTGGCTACTGTCAGTCCGGATAACTAATATCTGGCCACTGTGTTGGGTCATTTGGGCAGGGAAAACCTAGAGCGCCATGGCAGCAATCGACCTTAATTTATAAATAAATAAAGATTAAATTAGAATAAAATCGTCCATGTCCAGTTGTGAAAATTTGTTAGTGTGTGTGACTGGATTCAGGACATATTAAACAGTCTTATGAGCCAACTGCTGCTGCTCCTCTGTCCGCTCCGCTGTGGAGAGGGTTTAGGCAAAATCACAAACAATTATGTCGTCATTATATTCTGTTATCCTATGGACTTTGTTTTTGGAGTTTTCTGTTTGTCTTCCTTGTTTCATGTTGTTCATTCATGTTGAATCTGTTTCCTGTTTTATTTTGTAGATTCTTTCCTCATGTGTCGTGTCTGGTTTTACTTCCTGTCTTTGTGTGTTCTCCCGCCTGTTTTCTGTCACACCTGTCTCGTTAGTCCTTCCCTGTTCCCAGAGTCTTCCCCTCACACCTGTTCTGTATTAGTCCTGTTTGCTCCACCCTAGTGTTCAACTCCACACCCTTGTTGTTACCCAATCCCAATTTCCCTCCTTTTGCCCGTGTCCTCCTACTCCAGCTGTGTCTTGTTCTTGTGATTAATTTTCTGTGAATATATACCTGTGTGTTTCTCTTTGTTCCTTGTTTGTTCGCCCTGCGTTCATCCCTGTGTTCTTGGTGTCTTTTCCTGCTACATTCCTTGGCTGGTAGCTTGTGTTTTGATTTTTCATCATATTTTTCCTGGTTGGTTTTCACTCTGGTTTTTTTGTTCTGCTTTCATTTGGACTCTCTGTTACCTGCTTGTTCCGGATGTTTTTTATCAGCTGCTTTAAACCCACCTGCTGCTCTGCACTTCAACAAATGTTTGTTTGACAGGAAATAAATGTGTACATATGTGTCACAATTAAACACATGTCAAATTGCATTGACATCTATCTATAGTAGTGGTTCCCAGCTGGTGGTTCACAGTCCAAACGTGGGTCCTGGGTCCTTTCTGAATGGACTGCAAGTGACTTACCCTGGAAATCCAGAGTTCTCGCGATAGCACAATTTGAATTTGCTCAGCGAGTCACTCTGGCAATCAGTAATGATGCTCATTACCCATGCTGTTGGAGCCGAGCTGCACCAATCACATTGGTGTATCTGATATAGGCGGGCCAGAGGCGAGCTAAACAGATGACGACATCGCTGCGACGACAAAGTCCGGAATCAGTCAGTAAACATTGCAAGATGGCTACGGATGAACACCAGTTGTTTGAAACTGCTTTGGCTGCTACAATGAACGAGTTAGACTTGGCTTTTTCTCTAAAAGAGGAACAGAAGACGGCGCTCGAATTTTTCCTTTGCAAGAAGGACGTTTTTGCTGTTTTGCCGACCGGATACAGCAAGAGTCTAATCTATCAGTTAGCTCCACTGGTAGCTAAGTGTATACGTCACCCCGTGTATTGTTCTGATTGGTCGTAGTGTTATCCAATTGCGTGCAGCGATATTTTCAAATGCACGCTTGGTGCCGCCCCTCGAGTTGGGCCATTTGCATAGATTTGGGTCTGGATTTCCGGGCTACAAGTGACTCGCAAACGTGTCAAGTTTGTAAAACAGACTTTATTTTTAAGTACAGTGAATTCCGGCACATAGCTTTTATATTGAAGTGCCATTTCCTGCTGTGGATTGAGTGACTAATGGACAGCTGCCTAACAGAGGCAGCAAACTAGCTCGAGGACATGGCCAAACACAAGTATGAGTGGACCTTGAACTAATGACTAAAGAGAAATCTGGGCAACACGGTGACACAGTGGTAAGCATTGTTGCCCCACAGCAAGAGGGTTCCTGGTATGGAACCCATGGTGGGCGTTTGAATCCGGGGTGAGGAAGCCCCTCTTTGCAGAGTTTGCATGTTCTCCCCATGTCAGCGTGGGTTTTCTAAGGGTGCTCCAGCTTCCTCCCACAGTCCAAAGACATGCAGGTTAATTGATGACTCTAGATTGGCTGTAGATGTGTACCCTGCCTCTCACCCAATGTCAGCTGGGATAGGCTCCAGCACCCCTTTGACCCCCAACAGGATAAGTTGCTACAGAAAATGAATGAATGAATGAAAACTGGTCCCCAGGGCTGGACCTCTTGGGAAGCACTGATCTTTAGGATCTTGGTTTTCTTTCCCCCAAAAAGCAGAGTAGCCTTAACTTTTTGTGAAATACCCATATGTGCCGGTTTTGGTCTGTGGGGATTTGCAGCTAGTTTTTGGCAGGAATGTCTAATGAGTCAGTTAAGTTAGCAAGCGCTAGCAGTTTGATGATCCCCAAATGCCTATGAAGTGTGTGTTTAATAATGCACTGTACTAGTTTAATAAAATCATGGAAATGAAGTTTTGAAAAAGTTTTGAAAACTCCTTGGTAACAATGTGTGGGAGCCCTGTATGTGAGATGTGTTTTCAGTTTGCCCCTCTGCTTCAGCCAAAACAAAAAGTAATTAATCCAACTTTAATATCTGCACAGATTTATATTTTACTGCACTTTTATGTTTTATTTAACCATAAATTGTTATTCCTGTCATTGGCGCAGCCCTGTGATCTATGTCTTTAATGTTGAACTGCAAACTCAGCTTCCTTCGGGAAATAAGTAAAAGTTGAAAGTCCTGAAAAGAACAAAGACACAAGGACGCCTCTTTACTGCGTCCTCTTCCTTCATCCTCTTACCTCGGGTTCTTACTGTAGGCACTTTGTGTACAGACACACCCCCCCGCCCCCCTTACTGTCATCATGAAGGGAGGCCATTGTGGCTCCGGAGCTTCAGACGAAGCCGCGGAGATGCGTCGAGTTTCCCTGGCACATCATATCTGATCTAGATCCAGCTCTCTGCCCGAGGCTCTGGATGAATCTGCCAAGCCCACAGCTGTTCCCCTCCATCACTCCCTCAGTCACCCCTCTATCTGTTTCTGCCCCTGCTCTTCCTCCTCCACCCGCTAATGAGAGACAGTAAGCAAATTAAAAGTATCGATTGCCATTTTGTAAACCTAAAGCTTTTTTTTTTCCCTCTCTGCTTGTCACCTTTTTTCAGAGGCAGGCACACAAGGGAGTCTCATCTTTCCTCTCTGAAATGATTCTCCAGCCGAATTAAGAATCCACCAACCTCCTTCTCGCTTTCTGCCAAGTCTCCTCTCTCTCGCCATCTATCACACTCCCTCTCACTCTCCCTCTCTCTGTCGTCTCTTCACAGCCACAACACCAAGACAACATCGTGGCTGGACCCGAGGCTAGCCAAGAAGGCAAAGCCGCCTGAGGAATGCAAAGAGGATGGTGAGTACTGCGTCTTTATCTCCTGTTTTTTCCTTTCCCTGTGATTTATTTTTTTGCTATTCACATTCATACATTTTAATACTCAACTTCCACACAGTGTTTTTTTTTTTAAGATTTTAACCTTGCCTGCTGATCTGAAGAGATGAATGCATGCGAGACTTCAGTTTGGAGGAACATTTGCTGATTTTTGTGTGCCAGTGCGGCGTTTTTATATTTTCTAGGACTTGTATGGTGACAGTGAGTGTGGGGATAGGAAGCCCCGTGATATGTGTGTTTAAAGCCCAGGTCCAGAGAGACTGGAGGTTACAAAGACTTCTTTATTCTCAACTGAGAGAGAGATGTGGAGTGTCCTTCACCCGCCCACACACACACATACGACAAAACACACACCAAAAAGAAAGGAGAAGGATGAATGTCAATGCAGCAGGGTTTATAGACGAGCGTACATGTATACGAGCGCGTCATCTATCTCTTTCGCCCTCGCCCTCACTCCCCGCTTCCCCCATTCGTCTTTCCTTTATGTGTGCGACTGAGACGAGATTTATCGCCTGAGTTATAGACAGGGAGGTAGTGGGGCTGAGAATAAGGACTGGATTTTGGAGATGGACGGAGACAACAAATGAGGAATGACAGTCGCTTTTTTTTTTTTTTTTTGAGTGTGTGTGTGTCTGTGCGAGTGTTTCGGTGTATGTTCACAGCAAGAGGGGTGGAGGTGTTTGTGTGCATATTCCTGGTAAATGCGTAACCACGAGGATAGAGTTTCTCTAAAAATACATTTGGCAGTCAGACAGACGTACATGCAGACAGAGACAAACAGACAAGTGCAAACGTTTGCTTAAACCTGCCTCGTGTGTCAGGTTTGTGGCTGCAACTAATTGTTGTTTTCATTATCAATTAATCTGCCTGTTAGTTTCCTGATTTATTGTTTATTACACAGACCCAAAGGTGATGCCCTCAGACTGCGTATTTAGTCGAACCAACAGTCCAAAACCCCAGAAGATTTCAAGTTATGTTTAACAAAGTCAGTCCGCTAGTTTGGTCCAGACTTTAATACCTGGAGAACTATTGGAATCTTTGTTATTCATTAAAGTTCCAGTGTGAAGGATGTAGGGGAATACATTGACAGAAATGGAACACAGTATAAAAAGTATGTTTTCTTTAGTGTATAATCACTCAAAAATAAGAATCTTTGTGTTTTCGTTACCTTAGAATGAGCCGTTTATATCTACATGTGGGGCGGGTTCTCATCTACGGAGATCACCATGTTGCACTGCTATGTTTTTACAGTAGCCCAGAACGGACTAACCAAATTAGGCCCTAGATAAGGCCTTTTACGTTTTCATCGGCCACCGTCGTAAGCAGCCCCTCTGCTACCAGAGCATTGTAAAAACACTGATTTTGTAATGTGAAGCTGCTTTATTTAGTGTTTTTACTGGTTTAAATACCCTGGTCCATTTGTTTTGAAGAGGAAGAGACCTCAGTGGATAATTCGGCTCCTGGTAAAAACCTCCTGAACGTCTGGATCTTAAGTTAGCAGAGAAAAAAGGAGAGCACATTTTTAGCATTTGCTCGGCTAGCTGCCCCTCCTCGTAGGAGAAACACTGATTTGTAACGTCCATGTGCTTCATAAAGTGTTTTTACTGGTCTTAATCACCTGGTCCATTTGTGTTGGAGAGGAAGAGACCTCTGTAGATAATTCAGCTCCTGGTAAAAACTTCCTGAACAATGAATTCTGTTTCAGCGGATTGCCATCTGCAGTCGTCACTGCTGGATGCCACTAAATCCCTCTAAATCTTTCACACTGAGTAAAACATAAGAGAAGTCAGGTCCAGATGCACCAAATGCTCTTAACCACCCAAATCTGCCGAATGATGAAGCCCACCTAATCATAAAATAAAGGCACATGGCTGATTGTTTGTTATTAGCATAGCTAACGCCCCTTAAGCACTATATAAAGCCAGGTGTCGTGCTGTGTGCAAATACTCTGGCACACACCCATGGAGCGATGCAAGTGTGGAGGCACCGGATTTGACCGGCCTGAAACAAGGCTCCAGTGTTTTGCACAAATCTAAAAGCAGAGCTCCTGGCAGTGGTGTAGTGGATCATATACACAGGTATACAGTCTACACTCACCTACCAGCCATAAAGCCATTGGGATATACAGGAGAGTATACCCACCTCCTCCTTGGGTTTGAATCATGTGTCCCCGTGTTAACTGAGCATTTATGTTTTGTTATATGCCAAACATATGTTAAAAAAAATCACTATCAGGATGTTTTTACATAAAATGTGTCTGTCTGTCTATCCATCTATCTGTCTGTCTGTCTGTCTAACTATTCATCCATCCATCCATCATCTATCTGTCCATCCGTCCATCCATCCATCCATCATCGTCTGTCTGTCTATCTGTCCATCCATCCATCTATTCGTCTGTCTGTCTGTCTGTCTGTCTGTCTATCTACCTATCACTCGATCTGTCCATCTATCTATGCATCTGTCTGTCTATCTGTCCATCCATCTATCTATCTGTCCGTCTGTCTGTCTAACTATTCATCCATCCATCTGTCTGTCCGTCCGTCTGTCCATCCATCCTTCCATCATCGTCTGTTTGTCTGTCTGCCTGTCTATCTGTCCATCATCCATCCATCCATCCATCCATCCATCCATCCATCTGTCTGTCTGTCTGTCTATCACTCAATCTGTCCATTTGTCCATCGATCCATCTGTCTATCACTCAATCTGTCTATCATCTTTCTGTCTATCTATCTGTCTGTCCGTCCATCCATCATATTCCATTTCACTGAGAAATATGTCACAGCGCAAGTGCTAAAGATGCTTGAACTTTTGTTTCGTGGGGACTTTAACTGGGATAAATGGACCAGTAGTGTTTAATCGCCCACAAATGTAATAATTCAATCATAATAATTACTCAAACACAATTGTCAAAATTTGATTATACGATATTCAGGCATTGATTTTTGTTCCTCAGATTTAAAACTTCTTTTTCCTTGCGTGGGATGAGCAATTTGTCGACTCCAAAAATACATACATACATAAGAGAAGAGCAAAAATAAGCAAAAATTGGTGAATGCCAGAAATCAATGGGTATAAACAGACAAAATATAAGAGGAAGTTTATTTGTGTATCACTTCCTGCTTGAGACCCAATGAATCCCAATGGCTTTTCTGTCGGTGCCTCCATGTTGACATTTGTACGTTTGAGTGAAATATCTTGATGACTATTGGCTGGATTGCCGTGACGTTTGGCTGACACATTCATATTCCCAACAAGATAAACTGTATTCGCCTTGGTGATCCCTTAACTATCCATTTAGTTTTAATTCATCCAATACTTTGGTTAATGTCCAAATACCTGCAAGCTAAAGACATTCCCATCAGCCTCAGCTATAGTTTGGGTTTGGTGCTAATTAGCATGCTAACAAGCCAAACTAACATGGTGAATATGATAAATGCTATGCCTGCTGAAGATCTAGCATGTTAACACTGTGAGCATGTTAGCTGCTGATGTTAGCATTTATGATTAGTCGATTAATCGATCAGTTGATTGACAGAGAATTCGTCACCAACTTCAGGTTTTGGCCTGTTGGTTGGAAAAAAAAATTATGATGAGCATTTCTCACTTTTTTCGAGCATTAGTAGACTAAACGATTAATCAATTATCATGAAAATATTCGGCACATTAACCGATAATGGAAAAATAATCATTATTTGCAGCCCTGTTGCAAGAGGCTTGTAGAGGCTAGCATGACTGTATACCCCTAGCTTTGTTGTTTGGTAGATGTTTATGAAATTGTTTATCAACTAATAAGTCAATCAACTGTCGTTGTTTCTAGAAAGTTCAGTAGTTCCTGTTACTCACCAACAGGGAAGTATGCCGAAGTCTAAGATTCAATACTTCAGAAGACAGCTTACTTGATAAAATCTTAGTCGCTATTTGAATTCCTGTACACGTCTGCTACCGCGAGCAGGATAAAACAAATGTTAAGATGTATTTGCCGATAGTGTTTGACTGCATCAAGATAGAGTGAGAGGAGGAGAAATGGCTCCTGGTCTGAAAACATTTGCTCTGTGCGTAGTGGCATTAAACATGGGGGCTTCTTCCTGGTGACACATCACCTATTTTATCTTTTCAAAAGAATTACCTTTCCCAATCTCGCATTTTATACAAAAGACCTCCTGTGTCGTCGCCGATCTCCCCGTTCCCTCTCAATCTTTCGACATTAAAGGGAGAGAGATCTCAGAGATGATGAAATGACACAGAAACAAAGGCAGAGAGGCCTGTGAGGAATTAGTCAAAATGTAATTGCGCTTTTATCTCCAGCACTTCCAATCCTATTTATCCTCCAAGGACGCTCCACAAGAGGAGATGTGCTGATATTTGTGAGGATTGTTATTGATCTGGTTGGGCGACTAATCCAGTTAGTCCCAGTTGAGGGGAATGTGGTGCTTAATGGTGGCTGCAGGTCTGTAAGTGAGTAGACAGACATCACGATTGTTGGGCCAATTATAGTTGACTTTTTGACCTTTGTTGGACCAAGTCACTCACATCCTGAGTCAGTTGGAGTTGCCTGTCTGGACATGAAATCATTCAGTGGTGTTTTGGGATTCTAATAATTGCTTTGCTCTGTTACTTTGCTTTATTTTTGCACAAATTCCACCCAAAATAAACACAAAAACATTTTAAGCCTCGCGGTAGAATGGCTCTATGAATGGCAAAGCCAGCCGGTTGGTCTGTTGCTCCACCACTTTGGTCCAGACTGAAATATTGCATGATCATGGACTACTATTATGTTTGGCGCACACACTTATGTTGTTAACAAGATTAATTATAATAACTCTAATCTCTTAAAGGTACCCTTGACTCAAAACTTTGTTCTCTTATGTTTTTGTCCCCTTAAATATCTGACCTTGACTATACTAACTTGTGTCTTTGCTAAGCTTCTCTGGAGCTTCCTTCCACTATCATCCAAAACCCCCACT